TTTATATGATTGGTCAATTATACCGTGAAAATATCAGTAAAAAAAGTCACGGAAATTGATTAGGAACCGTGGTATAATAAAATAATAATAAACTTATTGTATAGCAAATCAAATATGTATTTGTTTAAACTCGTTTTATTTCGATCTCTAAATGTCAAAAACAACATTTATTTACACACCGCATATGATTATTATACTACCTTAGAGCAATTTGTATCGGAGTAAGTTTGTTTAAACTATGGTCATGCTTTACATAAAAGCTATTAATTTTTATAAATACTTTTATAAATATTATCGTTATTATTATTAATATTACATATAAAAGTACAATTATTAATGTGTTTTCTTAATCAAGGGATCATCAGTTGACATGATTTCATTTGATAAATATGATATTTTTGCTACAAAATCTTTTTACAATTCAAAAATATGGATGTTAGTTGTTATGCTTCGGAATAATCGCAGTAATTAATAAGATTGCTATGTACTATTTATTTCATAGCAACTTCATTTGTTAGGTTCATTTTATCTAAAAATTAGAAAATATTTTGTTTTATCTATGACGAAAATAGCTTTAAACATTTATTAATGATAGTTTTGAATAAAAAATTTATTGTTTGACATAATAGAAGAAAAAATGAAGAAAATGATAGGAAAATGAATAAAGTATAAAATTTAAAGGCATAAAAAAATTTAGAAAGCTTTACTGCCGAATAATAAATTAATAGTTAATAAAGAATTAATTTCTAATAATGACACTTCATGTTGTAACAATGAAGTTATGAAATCTTCATTTAGTTACAGATATTTGAATACTAAGGTACAGTACATACATTATAAACCAATATATTTCGATGCTATCTTTTAGCAAATTCATTAAATTCATTAAATCCTTACATTGATGTTTGAGATTCGAATACGAATGACTACTAGAAATTGACTATGATTATTTGTCTTTTGAAGCATGCGAGAAAATTATATGGAATATGCATTATTTATTTACAATTCGCTATTATCGCGAATAAAATAAAAACAATATTTTTTAAGCTGCTCGGCATTCAAAGATTCTGCAAATACTTTCATATCATTTACATTAGACATTTGAACAAATCGCGCGAAATCCTAAATTCCATAAGAGATTTCAAATGATCTAACTTAAACCTTTCTGCCAATTTGAGTAGGTCTTTATAAAGCGACAACTTTGAAATATGATTGATCCCATGCCCAGTCCTACAATTCCAAACATTAATTGAATTTCGATTTTCAATTGCATCGTCAATATCCTGGCTATACAGATATCGTATCAAGATACGCATAGAGTTAGGCTGAACATTAAAGATATGGATAGGCCTAGTCGGATTTGCCATGAGTTCCCTATGAAGGACTCCAGAGCTCGAAGAAAGCATAAAGCGACTTGCTTTTATTATCTCACTTTTCACAATAAAAGTGATATCGTTCAAGGGGATGTCTGATCTAATAGAAAATCAAATGCTCTAGTTCTGTTTATGCTTGACTGATCGTGTCGTCTGACCTTTATTTCAAAATTGGGTGGTTTTATTTCTTTGACACCAGCACTTTTGAGCATATTAGGATACATGGCAAGCCTTGGATTAACATACTGGTCATCACCTCGCTCACGGTTTAATACTAAATTGTTTGCGCTAACCCAATTATCGTTGTTGAACGGATTTTGATCAATGTTGAAATTAAGGAATAATCTCTCATTTTGAATGTACGACAAATCGATACCCTCGTTTACCGTTTCTTCATCGAGCCATTTATAAATTTCAAAAACGTCATGTTGGAATTTATCAGCCCAACCGTTCCTCCAGTTATTATCATTCATAAGATCATCATGCAAGAACCGAAGATGTCTGACTACAATAGAAAAGTTCGGTTTACCAAATGCCAAATGATTGATGTATTTGGAGTATATGTGAAGGTGGTATGACATCTTCCGCAATCAGCAATATTTTACTCCATGCGACAACTTTATACTTGAGGAGGATTATCATATTCAAACTACCGAAAACCTGAACGTGCTTTTTATTATAGTGTGGCTTGTAAGGTTCGTCCAAACTTTCAGTAATTGGAAAGATTAAAAATCTGCTTATGTTTTCTAAATTAAAAGACTTGATATTTTTATAGAGATGATCAACCAATGTAAAGCCTCGATAGCGTATGTCAGATGGAGGTTGCTCATTTTGCAAATCCTCAATCTTTTTAGCGCACTTAGTAAATAATGTTTCATTGACTATATGATTGAATCCAATACTCGATAAACGTGATACGTGCTCTAAAAGGCTGGAATGAAGAAAGACATCTGTGTTTCCATTTCCGCCAAATACAGTCAGAAAAACAAAGTTATTAGGGTCGAATAGATCGGATATCTTCTTTAAACTACTCGTATATGAATTGGGGAAACAGCGCTTATCTTTTAACCCTTGAACAACTCGATCATCTTTTAGTACGCTATTTAGGAAGCAAACATAAGAGTCATTGGATTCACTAGGAAATTCAAAATCCTCAAAGACAAAATTATAGAGAGGTCCGAAATGTCAATACCAACAGATCCGCTAAAGATTTTCAATTTTTGGCGCAGTCAAAACCCGAAAGTAACACTTGCGATTCACGAACTTTTTTTTTTTAAGTTGCGGGCTAGTTTTGGAATGAGCCATTTTTCCATTAAAATATCCGAAATCTTTAAAATTTAATAAATTTCGCATTATTAACATGAGAATTAGTGATAATTTTAAGAAATGAAAACCCTAAAAAAAAAAAAAAAAAATCCAGATAGGAAAGTTTATTAATTACTTTCGAAGCGTTATAAATTTTTTTTTTTAAAAAAAAAGCAATGCTATTTTATGAAAGATACAGTTATTTTGAATAAATTAAATTTTTCGAAAATTAGTAATTTCAAGAATCCAGTTAAAAATATAACTATTTCAACAATAAATTTTTATAAATGAATTTTATATGATATCTTCATAGAAAAATGTTGCATGATATCATAGTTTTGATTTAATTAGTTTGACAGCATACCACTTTGTCAACAATAATTCTAGTACATTGCACAAATGAAACGTTTTCTCACATACAGGCCTTTTTTTGGTAAGCTAAGCATCATAGGTTTCAATCCCGTCCTATAGTGACGATGTATTTGAATGTGAAGCAAGTGACACAGATGAATATTTATTGTAATGTGCCTAATAGTAGGCTTGAATTGTTGTGGAGTATTTGTTTTAAAAAAGAAAACTATGCTCATAAACATTGAACAACAACTTTGGAGATCGAAAAGTACCAAATGGCCGGACTTTAAATGAAAGAAACCGTTAAACAAATTATTTTTAAACCAGTCCTAGTATTATTGAGTTTATATTAATTGAACCTTATATAAAGGTGAGCTTCGAATTATCCTTTAAATTATACCGAAACTATATACGACGATTTATTAACAGTTAATATGATTTATCACAATTAATATTATTATAAATGAGATTGAAAAAAATATAAAAAGAAAAAAGAAAATAAAAAAATAATAACGATCAAATAGACTATCTGTATAATTTTCGCTGACTTACTAATTCTTGTATTGTGAATAGTCAAATAAACAAGGGTTATGCCAGCAGAAAAGTAAATTATTGTTATAAAAAGAGTTTCAATGTTGAGAATCATGAACAAGCTTTTATGCTTATTAATCTCATAATTTCACTTAAAAATATAAATACTGTTATTGAATTGCAATTTTACTCTTCATTGAATAGACTAAATTTAAACTATTGAAAATTATGTTTGTTTAAATTTATAAATTTATAATTCTAGTCTTTATTAAGTTTACTAATACAAAAACAAACAAATGATAACGTTACGATTGCCTAAATAATATAAAAAATTAGAAATTTTTGCACGCCACCTGATACCTGAAATATTTGGAGATAATATATATCGGCAGGATACAAGTATTCAGATTGTATAATAAAATTAAGTTCATATTATATATACCAACTTTTATTTTTAAGAACCAGTGTTAAATAAGTTTGGTTCAGCCAATTACACGGTTTCACATAACTTCGTCTATTAACAAATTTAAACTAAAACCTTGCAAATTTGATAGTATTTTTGAACTACCTATACATTAACGGTTACATGAATTAAAATATTTTAAAAATCAATAATTAGTTATAAGTTAATGAACGGAAAGTAACTACATCGGTCGCCACTTTCAATAACAATGCTGCTGACATAAAGACTATGTGAATAAATTTGAGAATAAAAACTATTCAGTTACATAGATTCCATATATTCCCAATAGATATAAAACTTAAATTAAATTAAATGTGATAATGTTATTAACTTATATTAATTGCTTTCTTCATGTGTGGTATTTTTAAGCTAATCTATTAATATCATTATGAAAAAACGGTTCTACATTTTAATTAAAAAGTATTGCCGAAAATAATGAGCCTTTTTATCATATCTCTTTTTATGAACACAACTAAGGTAAATATAATCATTATTTTAATACTTGATATTTATAAACGTCAATAATCATTGTTGTAAGAATCATGTAATTTAAATAAAAACAATCAATTGAAATCATTATTAGACTTTCTATTACAATTTGAGAATGTCATAAACACTTTCTTATTAAATTACTTTTACATATTCTTCATTGAAAGCAGGAATTAATTTTCTAACAAAATTTATTTCTGTATCATAAATTTCGAAGTGATGCCCAACCAATTAAGAAAATTGCTGATACGAAAAAATGTCTTTAAAAAACTATAGCTTCATTAATAGAGCGAAAAATATTTAAAAATATTGATTTAGGTATTAGCCGTAAATGCTTAAGCATTTTTTACTTTGAAATATAGATTTGGAAATTCCATTAATTCAAATACACGTCATTTAAATTGGAGTTATAAGTATTGACCTTACAGAAATTCGGATTGTGGTTAAATACTTTATTTGATAATAATTTACTTTTTTTACAATTAAATTAAAAGACGCGTCATGAAATTTTGTATGAAAAAATTAGGCTATATAAAGCATAAAATATAATCAATTTTGCTAATTCTAGTATAAATTAAAAAACTATCATAAACATAATAACATTTCTGCACAATTTTTCAGGTATTATAACTGCCTTTCAATGCTTTCAGCAATTTATTCAGTTGAAATACTTGTATTCCGTCTTCTTCAGCATCAGCGCCACCATAATACCTCATCATAATTTAGTTGGCAAATTCTTGAGTGATTTCTGCTTACTATCATATTCATCTTTCTCTGCACCTTATCGAGCCATTCTATTCTTGAATATTGTCTTCAATTCTTTCTTTTCTTATCTGCTAGGGCTAATTTACCGGTAAATTTCTCGTCCTATAATTAATATGATTTGATTAATATAATTTGAATTTAGATTTCAAAATTTGTTAATAACGAAATGAACTATTTGAAATATATTACGCAATTATATGCATAATTTTCCAATGGATTTCGTGCTTGATTGATTTTGCAACTTTCTCATTATTTTCATGAAATCTCTTGACTTCAGCAACCATTATTATATTTATAATTTTTTTAGTTAATAATGTATTTTTGCATAAAAACATATTTTTTTATTCGATTACATACCATACGTTCGAATTCTTTCTGACAATCGAAAAGTTTCTTCTGTAACGGTTATTTTATTAGATCTTCCAGTTATTATATCAACAGCGGATACCTATGATGAATTAAAGTCAATATAATGCTATAAATATAAATAATAATAATTTTCAATGCATAATACTTACGTTTAAAATACTATTTTGATTAATATCAAATGTGTGCCAAGTAAGCTGTTAACTTCAGAACGCGAATGTTAACCTCATAAACTTTGATGCATATATCTGGTTGATTGTCAGAATAATTTCATAAGGACCGTAGTATTACGCTTAATAAGCGGTTTCATGACACCACCGGCGGTTTCAATGCTGAGAGATAAAGCAGCAACATTGAGTAACATTAAAACTTTAGTCTTTTCAGCAGATAAAATACCAGCTTGAACTGCAGCACCGTATGCTATTACTTCACCGGGAATAAAGAATTTATTTAATTCTTTACCATTGAAGAACTCTGATATCATATTTTGAATTTTAGGAATGCGTGTATAAGCACCTTCTAGAAAAATTTCGTGAACTTGTTTTTTGTCGATTCTAGATATCAGAGTATTTTTTAAATAGGTTTCATTGTACCCTCGAAGAGAGAATCTATTTCTATAGTAGCATATAATGATGATGAAAGTTGACGTTTGCCACGTTTACAAGTAATTCTTAAACACGTTCATTCATTGTAAGGTCTTTCTTAAATCTGCGTTTAAATTGTCATACGAAAAAATTTACAATACGATGGTTGAAATCTTCACTACCAAGATGTTTGTAACCAGCAACAGCCTTTACTTCTAAAATTCCACCTTGAATATTTAGGATGGAGATATCTAAAGTGCCCTCACCTTAATCATAAATAAGAATGTTTCTTTCACATCACCGTAAACATTTTATCTAAACCATAAGCAATAGCTGCTAAAGTTGCCTCATTAATTATACGAGGTACGTTTAAACTGGCAATTTCACTTGCATTTCCTATAGCTTGACTTTGAGCGTTATTGAAATATGCTGATGAAATTATTAAAGAAATTTCTTCGCCTTTGATTTAAACTCGAACTTATGATTTGTCACTCTTATCAACAACTTTAAAGGCAAATGCTAATAAAAATTTAATTGATATAATTGATTATGATAATACTTTTTTTTTTAAAAAAAAATAAAAGAACCATTTTTAATAAACATGCCTTCATATCAGATTGAACGTTCCATTCATCATATCTGTGACTAATAAAGCGTTTGGCATTAAATATAAAAATATAAGGATTCATACCAACTTGATTTCTAGCAGCATTTCCAAAAAGCCATTCCGTTTCAGTGAAAACAACATATGAAGGCGTTGTACGATTATCCTGATCATTAGCAATAATTTCAACACTGTCATTTTGCCAAACACCGACACAGGAGTATGACGTTCCCTAGTCGATGTCAACTATCAATATTAAAATTTTAATTTATTTAACTTTTATGTTCATGAAAATAAAAGGTTTCTTTATGCATACATACTAGACTTTCCTTCAGACATTAGTTACTGTATATAGTCTTGCGCCCAATACCGCTGCTTTACTGCTTATTTAAAGGTAATAATACAAAATTGGCCAAGTCAAATAAAACATGAAATTCAACAAAGAGTGAAAGAGAGTAATAATCAACATAGCATTTCTCTTTATATAGTAAATTTTTCCGAAAATTAATTGATGAAAATACTGTAAATATTGTTACAATGTTAATGAAGGAGCACTGTGTAAATAAATATTTTTAATCCGAATGAATTACTTTTCTTAATGTGGTTAGCGACTTACGAACAACATAAGTTGAGTATGGGACTAATTGTCCTTCAAACGAACGACTACTGGTCTAAATGTCCTTGTCAATTTATCCAGAGGAAAAAATTGTCCTTGTGAATTGAAGGTATAAAAATGATGATCTTTTGACCGAATTATGAGAACATGACATTAAGGCCTTTCTCAATGGTTTATTGAATAATCTGATTGACTAAGGGCGTTTTCAAGCGTCAATGAGTTTATAAATGATCTGATTGTCTAAAAAATTTCATTGATGGAATATAAAAAGAGATGCTCTCATCTTTGCATTATGAATCTTGAACGAGACCATCACCATTGTAAATTGATCACAACACTACTTTTTATGATAGGTTTAGTGAATATTATTATTGTTGTTGCAATGAATGAGTAATTACTTGTTAAATTAGTAAAAGGAGCCAGAGCTAAAGTAAGTATTTCGAGCTTTTTTTTTTTATTCATAATGAAATGAAATTGATAAAAAGATAAAAAGAGGTTGATCAAGCAATGATCGATCGTAAAGATTGAGCAACACCTCATTCACTAGCCAACCATATTGAGAGAGGTGATTGAGAACGACCTAAACAAATCAAGTGTGATGATATCTTTTTTTAATAGGGTTGTGCTGATTGGCCAAAATTTATCGTTGAAGTATAAAAAGAGATTGCTCATGCATACTCTTTCACTTCCATTCCATTTTATTTTTTATATTATAACAAAATGTCAAGATATTCAAATGCAAAGAATAACCAATATTCAAAGTGTGATCGATTTTCTTGATCATGGCGAATAATGAGAGCATGTCGTAAATTTATCTATAAAAAAAATCACCTTTGAGTTTATTTCTTCAAATAGAGATAAAAATATAAATATTTACCGGATATCTTGGTAAATCTTGCTGTTTCATTTAAAGGGCCTGTATATCTTGCTATTTCAAAGGACCTGTAAAAGTTGTGTTGCAGAATATTATTTTTGGAGCAATGCAATGATACATTATTTTTTAGATTAGAAAAAGGAGAGATGTGAGTAGTTGGAGTTAAGGTTCTAGAAGTTGTTTTAGGTTTCTTTTTTGAGGCATACTGTAATTAAAAATCGATAAAACGGGTAAGAAATTGATCAAGCATTGATCTTCATCTTTATCGTAAAGCTTGAGCGTCATCTCAATAACTAGCCAATCACATTGAAAGAGGTGTTTGAGAACTGCTTTAGATAGTCTCTTTAAAGGCCTATTAAAGAGCGCTGGTTAAGCAGTAATAGTAGTTATCTTTGATCTATTTTTTTAATTCTTTGTTAAATCCATTTAATTCTTAATTTCAATTGATCTACATATGCCCATTATTGTACAAGTACATCGTTGCAATCGTTCTAATAAATTAATGAAAATATGAGGTAATATAATACTAGCATGTTACATTTGAAACGCTTTGATAGGGTTGTGATAGACGTATTTCGCTAGGATAAAATTTATATTTACGGAAAAAGACAAACCTTCAAATTGGTTATATCGCTAAAATTTATATGGTGCATTGTACGAGATGAATTTAGACAAATATCTGATCTATTAAGATCAAAAACAAAAACTTAATGGATTAAGGTACCTCGAGAAGAATTTAGTGACAGTATAACGTCGCAATACTGAATTTGTTTATTTTTATTTTTAAAAAAAGATATTTATGAATTAATTAATATATGACAAAGTCGGGTCTCTAATATAAATCATATATGGCTTAATTTAAAAACATGAAAAAATGGTTAAATTTAAAGATTTTATATTTCTTTAATCTTATTAAAATCTTGCCCATTTGCTTGTTAATTTGCTTTTATTGTCAACTAAGATCTTATTTATAATTAATTTGTAAAGAAGTTTGTAATTTATGTAAGTCACGAATTGAAGCAAGTTTCGATAAATCTTTAATTAAAAGTTGTATCAAAATGAGGAAAAAAAATTTGCAAAGAAATTTTTTTATTTAAACGGAATATTAATAATAAAAGGAAAAAATTACATTCAAAATTTCATATTTAAAATAATATATTATAATGCTGAAAATAATTTATAAGAAGAGAATAATTTTTCTTAATAAAAAATAGTAAAAAACTAAGAGAATTAATTATCACAGAAAATTAGAAGATTACAATTTGTTTAGGAGTTAGATTTTGTAGAATAGCTATTGGAGTATTGAATTTTTAATGATATAGGATCGATTTTCGTTAAGGAATCAGGTAGATTTGGTAAGCTATTTACATGAGTATTAGAGCAATATAGGCTCGTTAAGGAATTGGGTAAAGTTGGTAGGAAAGTTATTGGAGTATTAAAGCAAAAAAGTATCGTTAAGGACTTGGGTAAAGTTGGTAGGATAATTATTTGAGTATCAGAGCAATAAAGTTTCGTTAAGGATTTGGGTAAAGTTGGTAGGATGGTTATTTGTGTTGAAGAGCAATAAAGTACTGCTAAGGCTTTGGGTAAAGTTGGTAGGGTTGTTATTGGAGTGTTGATACAGTTAAGATAAGTTAAGGAGTTGGGTAAAGTTTGAGGTAGGATAGTTATTTTAGTATCAGAGCAATTAAGTTCTGTTAAGAAGTTGGGTAAAGTTGGTAAGGTTGTTATTTGAATATTCTTGCAAACAAGTTTTGCTAATTTTCGATATCTTTGTAATCCCAATCCTCCTAAGGCGGGTAAAATGTCATTCTTGTTAAGCTCCGTAATCGTTAAACTTTTAATAATATCATCATAAATAATATGATCGAAATGATGAATAATTTCAGAATTATTTGAAAAATTATTATTCATTTATTCATTTGACCATTTATTTGATCAAATCGAAAAATTTGAGATAAATCTCCAAACGAATTATTTATACTAGAAGAAGCATCGATGTTATTCGAATGATATTGTTGAAGGTTTGATTCGTATCTATTCGTTTGACTATTTTCTGTTATCTTATCGACTACTTGACTCATTGATGGACGATTATCTGGCTCATTATCCCAGCATCCTAAAAACATAAAATTTTTAAGACACCTTAATTTCTTTAAAAAAAATATTTATGTTTATATGATAATATATTTACCGGTATAAATGATTACATAATCTTCAGGTGCATCAGGAATGGTCCTTTCTCTAAGTCCTTGTAAAATTGAGATAGCTAAACCAAGGTCATAATCTTCACCTCTAACATAAAAGGGAGGACGACCACTCGATAGCTCCCACAGAGCACACCGTCACTATAAACATCACTCCTTTTATTTAATATATCTTGTTGCGATATACTTATACTAGTTCGACAATTAAAACATTTAGGATCAGTATAAGGAATTACTCCAAAAATTTTTGACTGATTAGTGGCTGCTTCTATCCTTTTTGATAATCCAAAATCTGCTAGTTTAATAACACCTTGACGAATTAATATATTTCCGGAATGCTATTATAGATCTATAAGCTAACTAAGACAGGATTATAAATTTACGATTTAAATCTACAATACGTTTTTGTCGTTATTCTGTTGTGTTTAAATGAAATTCTAAGATCAGTCAGTCGCCTTATAGGATAAATCATATTTTTTTTAGGATTTTTTAATTCAGAAATTACGTGAATAAACTTCTAAAAAATTACGGTGATGCTAAACAAAACAAAACTTTTATTATTGACGATTACTTTCCATGGTTTCTAAACTATTGTTTGAATTGACGAAAAATTATGTAAAATAGTAATTTATTTATCAAGCTTTGTAGGAAATAAAGGGATAAATTTAGGTTTAGTGAGGAAAAAGAAGAGAAATGAAATCTTTTAATAAAATTACAGGAAATACATTATTTTCCCCGATATTTAAAATGGAGCACTTTGTACATATTTATCAAAACTCGAATCGCGCAACATAACCAAGAATTATTAATGATAAAAAATAAATTCTAAATTCTATTAATAATAGACTATACATAATATTGATAAGCATACATAAATCGCACAACCACTCAATGAAGAAATTTCTTTTAGATTTCTTATTAATATGCATCAATGACTTGTGGACCTGTAAATATAAATAGTATATTAGTTTAGAAGTACCAATGTTGAGATACCGTCCCTATGAAAAAAAGTTGTACAGTTTCGTACAGATTTTGTACAGGAGCATATTGAATCATACAGTTTTGTATAGTAATTTCAATTTCTCATAAAAAAATGATTTTATAGAGAAATCGTACAAAAAAAAAAAATTTGAAATTTGTAATATATAAAATTGTACTGAAATTATATAAAAAAATTAAACATGCCGAAAACATACAGATTTCGTATTTTTTGAACGTATGGAAAGTTTAATATTACTAAAATGTGGGTAAGTCAAATTAATTGATTTTTTACAAAATTGCAAATAATAACTGACATTTAAAACATTTAAAACCTTTCTTGGCATTCAAAGTAAATTTGCAAAGCAGACTAAATATTATCTATGATTATAATTATAAGTTTGGTAAATAATCACAAAATCTTTATTGACTAGAAAGTTAGTTTCCTTTTTCAGATTTTGTAGGCAAAATGTGAAAAATTTGAACGTACCGTTGTATCAACAAAATTTTATTGGATGAAAATAGTTGAATGTTGTGTAACATTTATCTTGGAAAATTCTCGCAATATTTTTTTGAAGTTCGAACTAGAACACAAATATCTTTGTTTTATTTATTAGCATATGCTTCAAAGCGTATTTAATTCTTCATTAACTTTTTATTAATATTTCTGATAAAAAAGTTAGAATTTCGCGATGTTTTTCAAAGAGAAAATTCTCATTTAAAAAGAATAAAAAATAATTAAAAAATAATACTAAAATTTATTATTTTAAATATTATTTTATGCTTTATTAACCTTTTTATTTAAGAAAATATATCTAATAAAAACGTTAAATTTATACATTGAAAATTATAAATAAACTCCACCATTCAAGCTTTACATTTTCTTTATATTTCAAAAATAGAAATTTATTACACTTTAAAAAAAATAAAATAAAATACAAGACAAAATTTAATAAAAGCAAAATAAAATTGTATACAAAGGAACAGGACGCGCAAAAAAACGTTTTTTATGTTTATATATAATATATCAACATTAAATATCATGCATCTGGGCAAGTTGTCCTTCCAATTTTAAGGTATAAAAAGGTGGAATTGATGCCTAGGTTCAGATCAATGATTTTTACATAAGCGCCGACGTTGAGGCAGTACTAATTTATTAGTTTATTTCTTCAATATTACATAATAAAAATCCTTCTGCCATTTTACATTCATTTATAAATATAAACTGCTATTGAAAATAATACAGCCTTGTGTAACAACACATCTAAAATTTTCAACACAGTTTCAAGTTGTTATTAACGTACGAGACATCAATTGGATGTTTTTCGAAAAATTCAAAATTACTAATGTTAGATGAAATTATGACGAGACTAGTATTTTATAATATCCTAATTATATTTTGTGTTATTCTTTGAAACAAAATATATAATAGTTAATTTAACTTTGGTTATGGCGATAGATATTACAAGTATTCTTATCAAAAAATTATGAGTTCTTCACGTTCAAAACACCTTTTTAAATAATCGCTAATCAAGTTTAACAAAATTTATTCTTAATGTATATGATTATTCTTTTACCGTATATTTTATTATAATTAGTGCATTTTGTAATTTGTTTTAATACAAGAAATTTTAGGAATTATACGCTTTTGGAAATTCTGAAACTGGTACAATTGCGTCCCTAATAATTGTAGAATTGTTGCGCCGAAGTGATCTTTCACTAGTCAAATCAGGAAGATATTTCATTTCGGCCATTTATAACATCTTTCATCCAAAATTTTATCCCACCACTGAAGTCGTGATCCATGACTGTGGTGATCACTTGATTTAGTTGACAAAATATATTTGTTTACTTTATTAAATTTGTTATAATTGATAGATTTATTTTATTTATTTATTTTATTATATTTATTAAATTTTTACATTTCTTATTTATTATATTTGTGTTAAATTTATTATGTTTGCTAGTAAATTGAAAACAACGATTTTGTATAAATAGATCGGGAAATCAATCTAGAGAAAAACAGAGAAAATTGCAAGTCGTAAAAGTTTCTTTCAAAGATTTAATTAGACTATTCTAGTTTGTGATGATAAGTCTAAAGAAAAGGCTTGTGGAATTCCTATTTAATAAAGTTGTTTATTTTACCCTTTTAATCTTCTTCGTGTCTTCATAAAGGTTTTGATGCGATAACCAACTTCACTAGCGAATCGTAATAATTAAATATTACATAAATTATACATCGGACGAACTAAATAAAAAAGTAAAAAAGTGTCTGCTGACAAGAGAAAGCAGAGGAATATCGGGTCAACACCGGTGAAAGTAAATTCCTCAATTATACTTTGATAAAATTGTTAATTTTTTTTTAATATATTTTAAATCTATTAATTTAAGTAGATGTTCTTATTATTAAAGGTATATTTAGTGATAAAAATTTATTAATATGTATAATAATTTTAAAATCTGAGTTACGGGAATGCTTTTTTTGATTTTTTTGAATTATGAATTTAAATTTAAAAATCATACGCGCGTAAATTCTTAAAGACGTGAGCACACGAAATTTTATTAATTTCACAAATTTAGTAATATTCATTCGATTGGTCTTCGAATTATCTGCTCTGCTATTCAGAACCTTTACATTTGTTAGTCTCGTAATACTTTGTAGTTTTTCCTAATAATTGACTTAATATTTCGTAATCTAAATGTAAAACTACCCTATAAATAAAAAAATATAGATAACAAGAAATTAGGAATAATGATTCTTCACAGAGTTTGAAATAACAAGAAGCTTAATATTGGAGTAACTTTAATTGACCCGCTAGAGAGCAAAATCGCTATCCTCGTAAGCAACCGAAATCCTTCTGTAATACATTAGAGAAGGAGCTTCAATCAAAATTAAGAAATTCCAAGAAAACCTTATGGTAGAACCTAAGAAATCTGATACTCTATGAGAATGATTGAATAAACAAATAAACAAAACAAGATTATCTCTCTTGTATTTGTCTCAACCGCTTCCCGTATAAAAATTATCTTCATTAAAAATGTAATTGAAAGGCAATGCAAATCCGCATGGCAAACGGTTGAGGAAACCGTTTTCTCAAAATGTACAATGAATAAATGATAGCATTTATATGAGCGGCAAAGACTCAGTTTCTAAACTTTCAAACGCTAGTCTTTATGATTAATATTATAAAATATGATTTAAGAATTTAGTAGCAATAAAAAAAATATATTCTAATCAAAACAAACAAGATACTAGCGCTTTGTATGATCAGTAGAAGTTTCGTTATCTTTACAAAAAATATAAAAAAATATCTAAATAAAATCTATGTGAATTATATTGACCTGCTCTTTTTTTTCCTAGGCAGAAACCTATCAAAATTTGTAATATTTCAGCAATATAATATTGGCTAGGGGAATATATTATATAATTTATCGCAAGAATTTCATTGTATACTTTTTTTGATTTTGTACAATGAAATATGTAATCACTTTTGTACAGAACAGTTCACCTGACCGTACAGAACAGTTTATATGCCTTGTTGCATTTGTTTTAATAAATAAACAAATCATTTTAATTACCGGGAGGAAATACAATGAACACAATGGAATTCTAAGATAGATTCTACGAAAATCGAATTAATTGAAATACGAATATAGATCGAATCTAAATACTTAAATACTAACTATCCCATCACAACCGTTACCGTACCGAAAGTTAGTATAAATTAAATTTGCTTTAATAAAATCAAATAGGAGTTATGATACAGAGGACGAAATTAAAATGCATGTGAGATATGTGAGATGGAAAGTATATCATTATCAAAAAATAACTTGAAAAGGATAACCACAATGACAATAATGATATCGATGACGGTATTAGTGATGGATGAAGAGGATGATAACAATGAAACAATAGTAATAACAATAATGTAATGACGTTGATCAACTAGACGACAAGCACAAGCGAAATTGTTTCACCCTCTGCATATTTGTTTTGTAGGATACAGAAACACAATTTATTTAAGTTTAATTTTTTATTATATTGAACGTATTTACATATTTAATAATTTACTTTAAAATAACTTACTTAGAAATATAGCAATGGAAGCTTGGTAGATTAGATAAATATGTATTACAAAATCCAGCTTTTATTGCAAATGATACCATGTTCGACGATTGGAAATTTTTATGCTATAAGGTAAACATAAGACAAATTTAGTATGAAACACTTATTTTCATACATTCGTAATATAAAAATATTTTATATATCAATTAATATTTTGTAATGATTCAGCTCGAACTTCAACATGAAGTTGATCTTCATGATAATATCATCCGCTTTTGTGGAATAACTTCAAAACAAGGTATAAAAATGCTCATAAAGTAATTTATTAAAGATACAGTATATGTTGATATTAACACATTTTATAATTTTTAAAATTTAAAATTAGAAAATCAAAATGATCAATTGAAAATGTATTTGTTAGTAATGGAATATGCTAATGGCGGGTCACTTAGAAACTTTTTGAAGGATAATTTTGATGAGCTTAACTGGAACGCTAAATATAAATTTGCATTCCAATTGGCTTGTGGTGTGTCGTGTTTACATGAATAGTGCATCGTGATTTGGTAATTTAACATAGAATACATCTAATTATGTTTGTTATGGATCTTGCTGTTCTAATATTTAATTATATATATGATAGTATTCTGGTAATATTTAATTCATCAAGGTATGTTTAAATTAGCAGACTTTGGATTATCGAATAGAATTGAAGCGGTGACAAAAAGACTTGGTAAACAAAGAAAAAGTGACAATACACTGCAACAATATCCGCCAAATGAGAAAAGCTGATGTCTACAGTGTTGGCGTGCTCTTATGGGAGTTATCAAGTGGTCGTCCTCCTTTTTATGTAAAAGGTAAACGATACGACATTGATTTAGATATAGAAATTTCACAAGGACTCAGAGTAAGTGTCATTCCTGGTACGCCTGAAGATTATGTAAATATTTATACAGGTGAATATATTATTATTATTTTGAAATTAAATATAATTTTTCGATCACTAATAGATTTGATTTAGAGAGTTGAGCCAACGATCCAATAAATCGTCCAGTTATAAAGAAGGTAATCGATGAATTGAATACAATTATTACAAAAACAAATATAATAGAAAATTATCAAATGAATAATGAAGAATCAATTCTTCAATTATTAGAAAAACCAGTTCAACCTCCCTATTCTAGTATTTATATTTCATTAAATAAGAATTTATCTCAAATGATTCAAAATTTAAACAAATGAGTGTAAAAAAATCAAAATTAAATAGCGATACACCAGTCATTACTTACAATGATACTATTTTATCTTAACGATTACAGAACTTAATAAGGATGATATATTAAACACGTTAGGAGGATTGCAAAGGTATCGAAATTATTATTCTTATCCTGCAAAGGATACTCAAATAACCAGCTTACCAACTTCTTTACCCAAAAATTTATTGCTAAATTACTCAAATAAATAGCTTTCCAACTTTCTCAAACTCCTTACGGAACTTAAATGTAATAATACTCTAAATAACCAGCTTACCAAATTACCTAACTCCTTAACGGAATATAATTGCTCTTCTACTCTACCGACTCCTTAACAATATTCTGGTATTCTGATACCCAAATAAATAGCTTACCAACTTTACCCAACTCCTTAACGGAACTTAAATGTAATAATACTACCACTAAACCCTGCACCTTAACGGTACTTGATTGCTCTTCTACTCAAATAAATAGCTTACCAAATTTACCCGATTTCTTAAAAGATATTAAACCTAATTAAAAATCAACTCAAATAATGATAAACTTCTACATATTTTGTTATTATCTTTAATTTTAAGGATTTTTTGTTTGGGAAGTAAAGTTTTAGTGATTTAAATGATTTTTATTTATATAATATTCCTTACCTGACTTGTATTAATGAATATTTAATGAATTGAATTTTATCACTTTTCCAATTTAACTTTATTTATATCCAGCATCAAATTAACTGCTAATAAAAATTGGAATACAATTTACAAAATAACAATTTTTAATAATCTTCAATATTCTATGCTAGCATTTCGCAATGCATTTGCAAATTTCAAATTTTAAATAATTATTAGAAAGAATCTACACTCAATGGCTTATCATTATAATCAATCAAATACTTTTAAAGAACTCTTTTTGCGTTTTTTTTTTGTTTCGTTTCATTAATACATGTATACATGTATTACAAATTGTTTTCATAGAAAACTATTCAAAAGAACATTGAAAAAATGGTTTTATTAAAAAAAAGATAATTATTTTATCAAAAAGTCATAAAAATGATACGAAAAAAATAATGTTCAATACCTGTTTATTATAAAGTCAGGAAAGTCGTACAAAAATAAAAATCAAGTCGCGTTCCACTAGTATTTTGTGATGGACTTTAGAAAAATTCTAAAAAAGGAACTTTTTCTGATCCTCTAATTTTGTTAGAATGTATCATTGAGTATTTTTGATGGTGACGAAAATTACTTTTTTTTTTTTAAAAAACAATTTAGATCTAACATTATTGATGAGTTTAAAGTTAAAAATTTGGATTTACGAACCTCTGCACATATATATAATTATTGAGTTCAAATCGATAAATTATTTAGCTAATTGTCATTTGTTGATTTTAATTTTAATTTCGGTTGGTTTAATATATAGGGTGAGTGCTGACAAATCGACAAAAAATTTTTTTTTGAAATAAAAAATGATTCGAATTTTATGACCAAATCTACATCTATTTTACTTAGGAACTTAACTTTTTTTAAAAAAATTGGTCCATTTTCCCAGCACTCACCCCATACGGCGAAGCGTTTTTTTGAACGTCAAAAAAAATTTTAATTGTTAAAAAATTTTCATATTCTTCAAGCGTAGGTAATTTAATTACTAGGGAAAGGTTTCTGAGATTAGTCTCAACCCCTTTTTCCTAACAAACCTCCCAAATATTTTTACGCTATTTATATTTTCAAAAAAAATAAATTTGATGATTAAATATTTTAACTTTTCTGACTATAATTATTTAATGCTTA